ACATTATAGCATGGTTTCCAATCACAAGTGGTCATCCGCCTAACTTCTTGATACATAGGTATTTACTATTTAGACATTGTTTTAGTCATCAAGTTATTTCTAGAAGGCCCGGTGGTGAAGGCATTGCCTTCCCACAACCATAAGTCAAGTTCGACTTTTGGGAGGTGTGAAAAATCCTGAATTTTCCAATGGTTCTCTTCGGAAACCTCGCATTGTACTCCGATCGAAACTTGGCCGTGACTGGAGCGGTTAATGAGCTCCACTGGTGCCTCGGTGGTGGGTCCCTTCCATGGGTTGGGTTAAATAAGTTATTTTTAGAAGGCATGGCCTAGGCTATCCCCAATCAGTCAGAAAGGTTTGTGTGTTACTGTATACCAAATTCTATATTATCCGCATTTTGGATATGGTCAAAATTGTTGGGCTCATGGGAACAAAATTATGTAAATGAAAAAAAATATTTACATATATATATGTTTAACTTATCCAAATTAAAGATCATTATATAAGAAGAATTTTTAGAGGTGTAAAGTTCAATGCATGTTTTTAGGTGTTAGGATTTAGGAGAGGCACTTTACAAAGTGTACTAATAGGCTCTATGTTCTTGACAAATGTTGTTCTTAGTACTAAATGGGTTGCACCATTATTAGTGAGAAAATAATTATAAATAGAATTTATATATATAATTTATACAAAAATAATATAACAACATTATTATAAACCAGCGTGGTAGTGCACATTACAATGAAAACATGTCATGTTTGTATTATCAACACTAGAAAACTATGTACACATGATGCATGCCTGTATAATCAAAATTGAAAAAAAAAAGTTGGGCAATTATAGAGGGGGAATTGGGGATTTTTTTTTTTTTAAATGTGTGACATAATAGTTTTGCCACGTAAATTTTGTGTTTTAGATAATATAAAGGATGATTAACGAATCATCACAACCACTCGATTATATGGTTTGTCAATCATCTACCTAATCATAGAATTATGTTTTCTTCTATTTAGTTCCAAACCAACTCCCAAAAAAGAAAAGAAAAGAAAAACTACTTATGTACAGATTGGATTCAAAAAGGAAAAGATAAAGAAAAGAAGAAGAATAGAAGGATTCTAGCTCCACTGTGATTAATTTGTGCAAAGCAGTTATAAAGTATTTTCCAACAATGCTAATTAATTAATTAATATAGCTAGTAAAAATTCAATAAAAAATGTCTTTACTATTTTAGTTACTCAATTTTTTTATCACGTCGTCTAATCACATACTATATCAATATAAATAAATTTAAGAGTGATCTTTTTTTAAAAAAAATTAATATTACTTATAATTAAAATATTTACAAATAAAATCACAAAAATAAAACTTGTGATGCTCAATTTATTTTATTTAGTTATTGACCCACTATAATTTAGGAAGAAATTAAGGGCTAACATGATGGAGAGTTGAAATGGAAGGGAACAAGAACATTGGTAAGAGACTCTTTAACAAGCAAGCACCAGATACTACATAAAAATTCAAAAAATATTAAAAATTTTATATTAATGATTTAAATTTACTTGAAGTATGAGTTCACACTACCAATTATAGATTTTTTTTTTATTTTTTTTCCTGATTCCATTTTTGTGACCATAGAATTAGACCATGCCAAAACTTTGCTTTCTTTGCATATGAACCAATCAAATCGTGAGTCCCATCTCACGTTGCTAGATTTGCGTAGGTTGCCATTAATAGACCTAATTCAACCCAAGAGGGAAAATTGGAGACACACACAGAGGAATGACCCTTCAGCCCATCATATGACTCCTTATATGATACACATTCATTTTGTTGTAAATTGATTAGGGCCTCGTTTCAGAATAAGTTAATTTAGTAATTTTTTAGTAATTTGTTTAAAATATGAATTAAAAAAAATTAGCATATTTGGGATGATTTTTTATGAAAAGATGTGTAAAATGTAAAGAGAAGAGAGAATCTTTGACTTTTTGGTATGGATTATTGATTTTTTAGCTAATTTAATAACTTTTTGAATTTTTAACTAAAAAGGAGGGTTCCCAAACGAGGCCTAAATTATCCCCTTGCCAGCCCAACTCAAGCCAAAAGTTATACCTATAGGCCATGTTTGTTTGGACGGACTGGATTAGCATTTTCATGACTAATAGTCCTATGACTACCAATCCGTTGGATTATGTATCCTATCTTAACTAATAGTCAAGTTTAAAATAATTAGTCCGTATTTCAATTGTTTAACTAAATATCGGATTAATAATTTTATTGGACTATTAGTCCAATCCTAAACTCATATCCACCCAAACAAACATGGCCATAAGGGAAAAAATCATTTTACCTATTCAAATTACGTCACTTTTATCTTATGAAATATTTATTTTAACAACTACTCGTTTAAATTATTAATATTAATTTAATTTATTCTAAACTGTTGATAAGGTATATATTTTTGACGAAATATCATACTTGTTAATAAACAAGAGATTAATTGAAGGTATTCATTCACTTTATCTCATAGTAATGGCGTTTGGAATTTATTTTTACAATATATTTTTTGTTGGCTTTTATCTCAATTTGTAATTTTAAATATGTTGGTCAAATCCATTTGACATCAAATTTAAATTTACTTTATAAATTAAAATTTTAAATGTTTTTTCTAGGTAAATAATTGAAAAATTATTAAGTACTCTCGGAATACTTTGTATTAATATTCCTTCACCAATCATCATTCACCATGTCCCTTTATGTTCCTCAATCACTCAACACAGAATCATAATGCCCCACATTTTTCACCAATCATAATATTATGGAACACTATGTGGTCGTACTCCTGGAGTGCCCAATAATATTTATGACGTGAATTTATAAAATAAAAATAAAAATAAAAAAATTCTAATGCACCAAATCTGATCACAAAAATAGACACAAACGAAACAAAAATATGTATTCAAATTCAGTAGTTGAATTTTGTGCACATACAAGACCTATATAAATATTATGTTTATGTGGTGTTGCCCCTTCCACAATTACCCTTAATTTTTATATAGATTAATTATATTTTTAATTTTCAAAATATAAATTTTATGTCATTTTAGTTCTCAATACTTAAATTGTGTCAATTAAGTCCCCTGATTTCCTCAGCTCATTTGCTCAATAAATGTTGTTAAAGGCAATAGTAAATATAAACTTTTGGAAACCAAAATGACACAATTTAAAATTTTATGAACTAAAAACTTTTTTAAAAGAGTTTTCACATTTATCTCTCATTTTAACAGGTCAACTAACATAATTAGGTTAAGGGATCAAATTAAACCTTCTTTATAAATTGTGTACTAAATTAACAGAATTTGTACATTAAAAACTAAAATGATACAAATAATATATTTACTATTTAGGGACTAAAAATGTAATTAATAATGTCACATATAATTTCCAATATTTCACACCGCAACTTGACCCTCTTTTTGTCTTTGCTCTTTTTCTTTATGGATATTTACACCGTTTTAATTTATGAACTTATATTTCATGAAATTAAGATTTTTTGGACATTTAAGTTTCATTAAATTTTAATAGTCAGAATTGCCTTTCAAACAATGCTTGTTCATCATTTATAATTACTCATAAAGAAAATAAGATGATTTGACATTTATTTTGATTTTCAAAACTTTATAACATCAATTTTCAAATTGAAAGAAAAAAAAAATTATGTGGAAAAAAAATATGTTTTTTTTTAAATCAAAAAAATTGAATTATTTTTTTGTGTAAAACTGAAAATTTTGTATTTATAAAGGAGCATGATGATGGAATATTGATGAAAAAAACTGTAAAAATAAAAAATAAAAATTAAGTGTGTTTGGTTTGAGCTTTTTGGATTAAATTTTTTGAAAATTGATATTTTTGGTTTTCATATTTTTTTGTTTTTATTGAATAATTTTAAACATTTTAAACATTTTTTTTACTTTTTTAGATGCATCTTACTTAGATGTATCTAAAAAGTAAAAAAATTGTTACAAAATATTTTTAAAAATTAATAAATACATAAAAACACAAAAAAATGTACTGAATTTTTGTATTTTTTTTTGTATTTTTGGTATTTAGTGAATTTTTAAAATATTTTTTTTACAAATTTTTTACTTTTTGAGTGTATTTATGTTAGGTGTGTCTAAAAAGTAAAAAAATTGCTTAAAATATTTTAAAAATTCAATAAAAACAAAAAAACACGGAAAATAAGAAAATAGAATTTTCTAAAAATTATTTTTTGAAAATTGGAAACAAGCAAGCTTATGTTCTCAGTTACAAAACTGGAAAAATTTATAATATTCTCGATTTTATTAGATAGTTGAATCAAATCAATAAGTAGAAGGGCAAAAACGTCTCATACTTTATTTTTTTGTCATCTGTTAGTAAAGTAATTATCTGAAACATTACTATACAAAATTGATAATTCTTAGTTTTAAAAATTAAAATTTAAAAAAAAAAATTGATAATGTTCTTATTTTAAAAAATTAAAAAAAAAATTGATAATATTTTCAATAGGATATTTAGGTAATTAACTATTTCTTTATTTGTGTCTTAAAGTAATTATCTGAAACATTACTATACAAAATTGATAATTCTTAGTTTTAAAAATTAAAATTTAAAAAAAAATTTGATAATGTTCTTATTTTAAAAAATTAAAAAAAAAATTGATAATATTTTCAGGCACCGTTTGGGAAGAAGTTGGTTGGGCTTTTTTGGCTATTTTAGCCACAAAAAACAAAATAAGCTATTTTAGTCATAACAAACAAAACATCACATCCAACCCATAATCATTACACTCTTCTCTCACAAAAAAATTCAAAAAAGCCACAAAGTCCTTCCCAAACCAAACTTTTTAGCTCAAGCTAAAATAGCCAAAAAAGTCAAAAAATCAAAAAACCAACTCACTCCCCAAACGGAGGCTCAATAGGATATTTAGGTAATTAACTATTTCTTTATTTGTGTCTGCCCTGAAACAGGGATCGATCGCAATAGAATAAAACAAAAACATGTACTCTCTTTTGAAGATTCAATAAATTTTGGAGATTTTTAGATGTAAAAGACGAGAGAAATACCCTGTTTGGAAGATCAGAAAACGGAAGAGAAAAACAAAAGAAGCAATGAAGAAATGTGAGCTTTGTAACTCTGTTGCAAGAATGTACTGCGATTCAGATCGAGCCATCCTCTGTTGGGACTGCGATTCCAAAGTTCACGCAGCCAATTTCTTAGTAGCCAAACACTCCCGAACTCTCCTCTGCCACGCTTGCCAGTCTCCGACTCCGTGGACCGCCTCTGGACCCAAGCTCGGGCCTACTGTCTCTGTTTGCGAGTCCTGTGTTCACACCAATAACAAAACTACTACAAATAATGATGATGATGATGATGATGATGATGATGATGATGAAAACAATGATCATGATGGAATTGAAAATGATGATGAAGATGAAGATGAAGATGGTGATGATAGCAGTGATGAAGATGAAGATGATGGTGAAAATCAGGTGGTTCCTCTGGCTCTAATGGCTCCGCCGCCGGGAGTTTCGAGTTCTTCGAGCAGTGAAGAATCTTCTAGAAGAGAAAGTATACCCAAATCATCAATTGGGTTTTCTTTTAAAAGATCAGGTGAATTGATCTTCTCAACGATTTTCCTCTTTTTTCTCTCTGCTCTGTTTTCATCTCCTCTGTTTTTCAAGATTTGATCTTTATGTTAATCATGATTCATAATGATTTTTCTTTTCTTTCTTTTTTTTTTTTCTTTTTTTATTACTCAGGGCAATGAAGAACATACTCTCTGTTTTTGTGTTATGCATACATGTATATATATACACATACAGTATATAAATACATTTTCTCAATCATATCTTCAAATTTTTAGTATATTTTTTTTTTAGACCCATGTTTCAAGTTTTGATCTATATCTTAATCATAACAATTTTTTTTTCCCTTTCTTTGGATTTACTCAGGGCACTGAAGCACATCTTCTCTCTCTCTCTCTCTCTCTGTGAAGAAGTTGAAGCAAGACTTTGATGACTATTATTGATGTGATTGAAGAGTGGGAAGCTTCAAGACTTGTTAATGGTGTTGGTAATAGCTCTGTGATCTGGGTTAGTCTTAGGTTGATTAATGTTATAGTAATGCTAATTTAGCAATAATCTAACAATTAGTCCTGTCATTAGCTTGTACTAAACATGATTGTATCCTTGGCTTATTGCTGTGAATTTGTGTTGTATCTCTGTTTTATGTGTTTTATGATGCTCAAATTGAAGACACCATTTGAAATAATTTGAAAATATGCTAACTTACCTCATTTTTCATTGATTTTTTTCCCCCATTTACAAGAACTAAATTCAAAGAAATGAAATATGTTTATTATTTTTATTATTTATTTATCCCATTTTGAGACAATGAGCTCCTTATTGAGTTGTGACTTGAATTGAGTGATTCTCTTTTTTTTAGCATGTGAGGGGAAAATTATTCAATGCAATATCTGATATTACTACACACTATACCAAATAATTATTCCATATAGGGAGCATAGATGAGATGTTGACTTTTTGTTTTTTGTTTTTGTTTTTTTTTTTTTTTTTGAAGAGACGTGTGAATCATAGGATATTGAATTTTAAATTTAGTCTAATCTCAACCTAATATTTTTGTAGTCTTTCATGACTCCGAATTATACAATATTTAATCTTAACCTAGTACTTTGTAATCTTTTCATGATAATGAATTATATATTAGATTTGACATGTTGCCGATAATACAGTTAAAGTGTATCATGTTTTGCAAAATACAATTTGAATTAACAGTTTATGTTGATATGTTTTTTTGCATTTTTTATTATGACTTATGATAATTAGGACTTTTTCATAAGAACCAAGTCTTATTTGTCTTGTGCAGCGCACGAAATTGAAAGAGTACTTTTATTCATTATATGGTTATTCTTAGTTAATTTTTTTCTCGAAATGGCCCCGTCAAAATAAAAATAAAAATATCATAATTCAACAAATCAATTGAAAGAGTATTTTTATTCACTAAGTGGCTGTTCTTAGTTAATTTTTTCTTGAAATGGCCCGTCAAAATAAAAATAAAAATATCATAATTCAACAAATCTCATGACGTCATTGATGGCTTAAAAAAGTTTGAAGTGTCGGCTAATACGAAAACTCTACAAAATCATAAAAATGATAATAAATTTGTCCAAAATTCTGAATTAATAGTGTATATTTAACCAATATTAAGATCACTTCAAGAATAAATCTCACCTTTCATTATAATGTCTAAGTAATTTTTGAAACTTTTATTAAATTTGAATTTTTAGGGCTATTGTGGCTAATATTATTATGTAAGAAAATTTCCCCACTTGTTGGGTTGCTTAAAGGATGGGCAGCTAGCTAGTTAGCCAAGGACACATAATCAAATACAGGGTGTACTGGAATTCCAATAAAATCATTATAGGACTGCATGCATGAGGGACCATACTCTGAAAGGGAATGTGGATGACAATGGTTTTGGACTTTGATTGGTCCCTTTTGTGGCCACTAGTTATTGTCAAAGATGGTGCATGAACCAACCAACCAACCAGCCATCATCACCAAGTAATCAAAAAACCACTGCGCAATTGTGGTTGATAGTTTCTTTCTAAGTCTGCATGTGCCACAGGTTTTGGTTCCTTGTTTTGTATAGCTTAGCTTCACAAGGTATACACAAAGTTATGAATGTTTGCGGAGTGTGTTATGTTATTTTGTAATAAAAATTAAGAGGGTTTATACATAGCTCTTTATAGATGGATTTATTGTTTAATAGGATCTGTGAGAATTAGTGGTATATTAAACACTATAAAAAAAAAATTACTAATTGTTGATTTTCAGCGACAGTATAAAAATTTTATCACAAGAACTAATTATATATTTTAACGACAATTTAAAAAAATCGTCACTAATTTTTATCTTTCAATGACAGTTTAAAAAATTCGTCACAGAAAAACGTCATTAATTGTAAGTTTTAGTGACAATTTGTAAAAACCGTGACAAAAAAATTAACTAATTGTCAACTTTTAGCGATATGCGCAAAAAATCATCACAAAAAATTATAGTGACAATTTTACTATGATCTATTTTCAATAGGATCTAATGGTAATTAAGTCTAATTATTAGAACCTATTGATAGTTTATTCTAAAAACTATAAATATTATGTACCCTTAAACATTATGATTATGTTATGAACATAAAATATTCTTTTATATGAACTAGGTTGTGTTTAGATGTTAGAGAATGTATATATATGGTCCAGATAGCCCCACCAAAAAAACTCAACTTTATCAACCCATAAATTATTTAGAAATTTTATTTTGTGATTCAGATTTATTCTATAGATAGATCTCATATCATCACATAAATCCAATCACAACCACACAATCCCATTCGGAGTAAATTTGGGAAAGTTGAGTATAAAAAAATTGTGTAAAAATAGTTTGTTTATATATATTATTGTGTTCCTTTCAGTGTTCGTATTAAAACTGAAAGAAAATTAGATAAAAGCTAAACATATGTCATCCATGCTTGTTTGATTGTGCTTTCTTCAATTTTTTTTTTTTTTTCTACTCGTTTTCAAAATATTAAAACGAAAACAAAAAAAAAACAAAAAAAAGGAGAAAGAGAAGCCTAAACTCTCATCATTTAACAGCTTTCAAAACTTAGAAAAGAATTGTTTTCATAAGAAATTTTAAAAATAGTTCACCAACTTTTTTCCTCCACAAATTCAAAATCTAAATTGAATGTAAAAACCTTTCAGTGTTTGAATTAAAACTGAAAGAACATGAAATACAAGCTAAACATATGCTATCCATGCTTGTTTAATCGTGTTTTCCTCAAAAAAATTTCTCATTTCTCATATTTTTTTTAAAGCAAAAGTTACACACACACACACAAAAACGAAAAAAAAAAAAAAAAAAACAAAGAGAGAGAGAAATCTAAATGCTCATCATTTTTATTTTTGCGCGAAAGGGGCTTTCAAAAACTTAGAAAATAATTGTTTTCGTTGTCAATTTTTTAAAAAAAAAAAAGTTGACCAACTTTTTTTCTCCACAAATTTTAAATCTAAATAGGATGCAAAAACTTTTGTCTTCTAAATCTAAATACAATGAATTGAATTGGAGTTTTCAATTACATAGCTCCCTTTAATATAACCTAACCAATCAATGTTATGATATATACACACATATGATAGTAATGGTGTGGAAAATGACAGTGACCAAACTATAATTATCCACAGAAACTAAAATTGACACCATCTTTGTGTCCCAATGTCTTTGTTTGGTGACAGGCATAATAGCTACATCTTCCTAAACCATTTTTTATATTTTCTATCTACTTTCTATATGTTAGTTTGACTGTCAAATTACATTACCTTATTTGGATTGGTGTGAAAACTTGTCTCAACTCTCTCTTTCAAATAAATATCTTGGGATTGTAATCTTGATCATAGGTTACAATAATCAACCTTAATCTCCCTTGTATATATTTAATTAACCATGCAAATCGCAACCGACAGTCGACCTTGGGAAGACTTATGTGAGGAGGGGATTAGGATTAAGATTAACATAAAGACACGCTTTCCGAATTATTAATTTATGATTATAAACGAAATGAACAGAATCCTAGGAGAATGAGAGGAGGGGAGATACTAGGCAAGGTCTCCAACATGTCCACATGCCTAACATAAGGTCCATATTAGTATATTAATCACAAGTTGACCATAATATATGGTTCTAGTACTTAGAATTTTGATTAAAATAATACTATATATAAATCAATTTTTTATCACATTTTTTCATTACTAAATATAAAATAAATAAAAAAAAGTGGGACCTACATTTTTTTTTTTTACCACTAGCTCATTATTTTTATGGCTGATGATGAAGACATCTAATAAAAAATTTGTTTATGGGTAGCGTTCTTTTTGTTTTGATTAGATTGATTGTAGTAATTATTTGTTTCTAAAGAGAAGAGAGGGAATCAAGAAAAGTTGAAGTACTTGAGTTTCAAAAATTTGTGTGGTGGAGGGACATTGCTTGTGGAGGAGAGATGGAGAATTGTGTGGCTATGGTGGATTTTTTTTTTTTTTTCTTTTTCTTTTTATGAAAATCTCTCCACCATGGAGATGTGATTTAATTGTAAGTTTTAGTGATGAAATGATCTTTGGATTCTGTTTGTGGTGATCTTTTTTGGTGTACAGCCTTAGGGAAAGCATTATTCTTGTATATATTTGCTTTTTTATACTTGAAGTATGTTTGTTGTAGCTTAAATCAACGGCTCCTCATGCTTTTTTTCTTTAAAAATAATTATTATTATTTAATTTTATGTTTGAGTTTGATGTAACCTTTCTCAAAAAAAAAATTTATTAAAAAAAAATAATAATAGTAATAATAATAATAATAAAATCACAAGCTAAAAGTGGTCCTCCCTTAACCTTAACTTCTAGATAATTAACTTGTTTTAAGATATTTTTATATCATAAGTTATGAGCACAAGTTACACTTAACAATCAAATATAAATTTTAAAATATATAAAAAAAAATTAAAAGTTATAAGCTGCACTAAACAAGACCTTTCGAATTTTGTATCCAATCGTTTGTTGTATTTAATTTTTATTTACAATTTATGCAATAAAAATATAATTTGTAAATTATAATGGTGGCCCTTGTAGTTTGGCCATTGTGTTATTTTAGTCATTTTAATTTCAATTTGTTTGATTTTGATCCTGAATTTATAACTTTATCTCACTTTGGTCCAAATGATTGTGGGTATGTTTGGTTTGTGTTTGAGAGATGTGTTTTAGAGATAAAAAGTACGAAAACATGTTTGGTTTGGTTTTTCTTAAAAGATGTTTTGGAAAATTATTTTGAGATAGAGTTTTGGAAAAAGTGATTGATTTGATGTGTGAGAGAAAGATTTGTTTGGAAAACTTGTTTGGTTTACAAGTTTTGAGAAATTTTTTTGAGAAAATTTGTTTGGTTTGATTATTTTTGAAGGATAAAATTATAAACATATTCAACTCAACGAATTAATCTCAACTAACTCAGTGATAATTTTTTTATAAAAATACTACCAACATTATCAATTAGATCAAATTGACAAAAAAATCTAAAATTATGAATCAAATTTGAACCAATTAAAAGAATAAGAACCAAAATAATCTAAGAGGCAAAGTATAGAGACTATAATGTATAGGGAGCAGCTTGCCTCCAATTTTTAATCAGATTGGATGGTATTGTTCGGACTGTGAGGGCTTACCACAGGCCTTGTTTT